GTCAGGGGGAGAGAAACTTCTTATCAGAAAAAAAGCTAAGGAGAAACAGACTTACGATGCCAACGAAGAATTAGATTGCTGCCGGGGGTAATAAGTAGGAGAGAGAAGAACAGCCAAACGGGGAGCGGCACCAGCAAAGACTGTTAGGAGAAACTTGAAGCGAGAAAGAATAAAAAACCGTGCTTGGAAAGCCTACTCGGTAAGCTCAGACCATATACACCAAGGTTGCTGTCGCCTGTAGCGATGCCACCTCGCTCACATTGTAACAGCTCTGACTGGTAATGCGTACCTGGTATACTCTGTTTATCTCTGTATATGAAACTATGCGGCTACCCATGTACATAACGTATGTCGAAGGCAGAGCGTTCGGCTCGAGCTCAAGCCGAGCTTTCGCAAGTGAAAGAATCACTCAACATGACGACAAGGCGTGTTCGCGCTGCCCGCCAAATGTGACAGCCAAAGCGGAAAACGAAGTCTAGAAATGACGAAGCGCTCGAAGCGGCAACGCGTGCGCTATGCTGCAGCTGCCCTAAAAGCAGCAGCCAGTAACTGTCGGCGATGGATGACCCGTGACCATAAAAGTTCGTAGGGAATGGTATGGAAAGTCTGTGGGGCGCCTGTGGTTGAAAGCTAAAGCGAGGTAATCTAACAAAAGGGCGCGGACGGGAACGATTTGCCTTGATCAAGTCATTTGTACCTTGACGGAGGTCGCGAGAGGCAGAAATAATAGGGAGAAAAATCATGAAAACATAAGGCCTCGAATAGCTGTTGAACGATATTCAAATGTTTAAAATACACCTAATCACGTTATTCGGCTCCTGCATCGATATCATTATCTACTATTTCTACTAGCACAACGAATGCACGCAGCGCTATGTGTGGAAATAGAGACATGGTGAGTCTTCACAGGCAACACTGGCTACTAGCGAAACGAAGGGGGCTCCTACAAAGCTACTCTGCGAACACAGCGTCTGTCGCTCTGAGCACGTTTGTACCTATTACAGAGTTCGCATTTAATTAGTCTCAACTATATAAACGCAATTGCTGCGCTTTCCAACTAGAAATGATTATCAAGGAAGCATGACGATGAATAAGATGGCCATTTCGCGTCCGTTTGGGGGTGAAGTAAGATATCCAAGGTGGGGGGTCGCGCCTTTAAATACTATACTGTTACGATATCAGGAACAGCATACGAAGTTATAATTTGTCGATGAAAGTTCGTTTTGTAACATGTGGTCGAAATGGTTGTTTATTTCATCTTGAGATTTTATGATGCTAACTTCAGTATTTCAAACGTTTACTATAACGGTATAGTGTTAAGGCCGATGACCGAAGAGGTGCTGAAGAAACTACATGAACGGAAAAAGATTAATAGAGATATGATCTGATATACTGACACTTCATTTAATATAGAAGGTACACGAAAAATACTCGCTTTGATTTTTTTTGTCATATAATTTTTGTTTATCTACCAAGCCTTTATCCTGAAACATTTGGTAAACACCTTGCATGTAAATATTTGAATAGGTTTGTCGTCACCTTATCAATTAGTTGTTCTCCATAAAGACTATAGATTTACCTCAAGTAATCTGAGCATAACCCTATGGCCCAGAGATACGTAAACAACGTGTAAGCCGATATACGTACATCTAATATTGTCTTCATTTAATCAGAAATGATAAACATCAGATCTATGTCGATAGCAGGACATAAATCAACGATTTCAGTAAGTTAGATACAGTGATGTAATAATCATCGACGAAAAACCAGTACGTTAGTCGCTAGAATGGCACAAAGTGTTGATTCTACGAAAACAATTGAAATATTTAGGAGACGCGTCCTTGACGTAGATTAATTGGAAAAGCGCTTCATGTGGAACGCAGGCTCAACTGTGTTAACGTTGGCATACGTCTTCTATCCAATTATCACGGTTACGCTATCCAATCCAATCAGTAACTGTCACGTGGTACGCCCGTGTGACGTGGTCAAACGTGAACTCCGGTTACTGAACGTGTACGAAATCTCTGACCAACGTAACAAAACATTCGAACTTACCCCCCCCCCCCCTCCAACAAAAAGTACTTAGCAATCAAGTACTGAACAAACTGTTTAGTTCTTAACATTTACAGTTATCTGGACAGTTTTTTTTCACAGCAGTCGATACCAAATACCTACTTCGTGAACGTAATATTTGTGTATAAACAAATAATAGGAAAACGAGACATCTTCGAACATGATTTAACATCCGGTATAATGTCGATATTGTACTTTGTGCGTCTCTTTGTCTCCCGTGAACAGCACTTACAATTCAATGTTTAGAGAACTTCATCAGACCATTTATGTACCATAGCACTTCTTATAAAATCCAATTATCCCAATTCGACCGGTAACGCTTGTTAACGTATATAGACTCCCTTACAGCACCATTAGATGCGGGTCTAGATTGAAAATTGATAACTTATGCCTATTATTAACAACCTATGGACGCAAATAGATCGAACAGGCCGTACTTGAGTTTGGCTAGAATGTTTCTTAATCTTGATAACTTTGCTCAAAATAGCAGATTTTGGTATACGACAAGGCCTCTAAATACATCCATGCATGTTCAGTTCAATTACGGTTTAGTTAAATTTATCCATTGAACTTGAACTTATCTATTCCATTGTGCATGTAATTCACATGCCTGGTTAACCCTGGGTCAACTGTATTATACGGACACCGTAACAGCGTAATGTGACAAGCATGTGTTAACTAACGTATATCCAATAGAACAGCCTCTTCCAAAGGAGACGTCGTAGTACTCGACACGTTTTCGCCAGTAGACGCACTATTGATTTTAATGGCATTGTTGGCATTACCGCCGCCCTGTTCTTTCGACCCAATTGACTCCGGTGACCCTGATGTTGATGTGCCCGTATTATGCTTATCCATTCAGTCGTCCATTGAACGGCGGCCACTACAGTCAACGCTTCGCAGTTGGTCACCGCTGGAACGCGCACCACTTACTCACTACCGCTGCCAGAGTTGGCACTGGGTCACTCTGTGTGCCTCTGCAGCAATGACCTGGGGAATCGCTACGCTTGGATCGACACCAAAGACCAGTCACCGTCGCCGTCAGTAGCACAGAGTACAGACGTCCATGTTCATGCATAAATAATGGACAGGATAAAGTAGTGCGCACTATGGGTAAAGAAGTAGTAGTATGCACGAGTTCGAGGTCTGATTGCACGTCTGTTTTTCATTCATTCGTCCGCGTACGATGTTCCGACGACATGGCACTTCCAAGCGTCGTCACGAATCTACACATTCAATGATACCAGCATAAGCAGTGTAGGTCGTGCTTGGATAGTAGAGTCTGACGAACGCCGAAGTTGCCTAGAAGAGTATCGTTTGCGAATGGACGCGCGGAGTCACGCTGGTAAATCTTGACGTATTTGTCTATATACCTAGATAATTACGACGAGACCGTGTCAATGGAAACAAATTGCGGTTGGTCGCCGACAATGTACACAGCGGCGCGCTGTGTGCTGACTTGGACATCACCCGTGTCTCTCGATAAGAACAAAAGAGATACTGATAAATGCGGAAGGCGACGATAGTACAAGACAATTCAGGTGACGTGATTAATTATATATATATATATATATATATATAGATGACTCGTTGTTAAGTGCTCGTTGATACATGGCTAGGCTTTCCTTATTTAAAGCAATTTCTATTAAGGTATTTGTTTTACTGCCTGTGAAAAGCGCAGGAGCAGAACGAGGATCAACAGATAGAGTCAATCGCAAGAATTTCTGAAAAATAGTTTCGAACGGCCATAGACATTATTGCAGCCTTTTTTTACCAGAAAAATTGATCAGTTGTAACCGAATCTCGATAAACTCGGTCACAGATGATCTGTGCTTGTTCCCCAAACTATCCATAACAATAAGTGCTTGTAGTCGATTTGCTCATATATCAATGTCTGCCTGCGTGAAACCTTCTGAGTTATCCAAGACACTATTTTCAGTCAAATGCCGCGCGAGCTTTAACCTATAAGCGCCAAGTCAATATCAGAATCACAACTTGCGGCATACGTCATCAAGAACTATTCGATAACATGGTGACACCTGGTCGTACTTATTACAGCTTTGTGCCATAGTCAGTAAGAAAAATCAAATGCGACTCTATTCCAGCTCTGTTCTATAAATCGCAGCTAACTAAGGAGGCGCATGTACACAAAAGGAAAGGGTCTCACTCGATCTCGCTCGGTAGACGCCTACGTAACCGGTCTACTGAAGAAGCCCCCCCAGATACGAATGGTAGAATGGTCCGTCTGCCCTGCCCAGTCGAAACATTACATAGTTACTTTTGTCTACAATAAGTAGAAGTCTGAACACTTACATATTTATGTAAGCTTTACTTAGGAGCATTCAGGCTCCACATTTACCCATTAAATATAATGAGAATCGAGCTGCTGGTCCCTATAACGCATTTACCTACTAATCTTTAACACACCACGTGAACGAGTCCAGGTTGACTAGCGGACATAGGCGCACCTACTTCGTGTCGCTGCGAACTAGCCATCTGAAGCAATACTTAACTGAGAAAGTAGCATCAGACGTAAAACTCGAAACATTTATTGAGCTGGTGATTCGTGTTCACGTCCACGGTTCGCTCTTCAGGGAGACCTCGCTCCACTCACTTCTGATTCGAGGACAAGATAGCAGAGACCGAAGCACAACTGACGTAAACGGGCTTACGATCCTCTCTCGATTTTTTCAATTGCCGAAGCGACAATTGTAGCATAATGAAATTGTACTGACAACGAGTTCTTTTTTTAAAAATCGGTTGCAGAACGCTCCTAGTGAATTAATGAATGATGATAATTTGGTCGCTATATCCGTAGGCTTCGTTTATAAAGCAAACATGCCTGCTGCGGTCGTCTGGCTGTTTGGTCGACTGTCGAGAATGACATACCGCTTTTCCTTGCGTATTTGCGCATCAAATAAACTTACCTTTTCGTTAGACGCTGCATGCCCAAACACTTCGTAGCTCTTTACGATGCCATGCCTAGCTGATTAGAAAAAAAAACTCTAGATCAATCTCCCTCGATTTGATCTATCATTTCACGTCGTGGTGAAATTAATATCGCCGATGGGAAAGTTCGGCGAAACGCTGTGAGGCGCCGTTCTGTCTAAAACGATGTCCTGCACTCCACAGACAGTGCGATACTGTCAAATAGCTCTTGAGAAAGGCTTAGGGAGTACAGCAGTTTCAGACGTACTTCATTTCTTCAGTCTTCTTCTTTGGCTTAAAGATATTACGTTCTCACGTCACCGATCGCTAGCCTCGTCATCAAATCGCGAACAGCTTCCGTCGCTGGGCGCTTTGCCATATAACAACACAAATGTTATCTGATAACTATAACAGAGCGCAGCGAATTCTGCGTAGTGGCCGTTTGGCCATCGTCGACAAGTGTTCGTTGTCGTTGCTTATTTCGGTGGTGACGTACCGCACCACAGTTCTTCTCAGCGTGGGCGTCTTCAGTGCGAGCTCCCTTCACGACAGACGGAGTGACGACATAGAAGTGCTGAGAAATCAACCGAGTTCCAACCGAAGCCACATGCTAGCAGTATTATTGTTATCCACTTATATCGATGCACATATACTCAATTGAAGAAAGGCACTTACACTGAGCACAAATCCATGTGAAGATACAAACGATGGTTATAATGAAATGATAATACTAAATATGTAATGACAATGATACTATTTTCGTTGGCTCATAGCAGGACACCTGGGTGTCGAAGAGGGCGCGATCCTGGACGAGGCCGCTGTTAGAGGCGTAGCAAATAATGCATATGACGCTGAAGTCCGCATATAAGACCACCGATTCTGACACGCGGGCTTTCTCGATCTAATCTGCCAATAACAAGTCGATCTACAAGACGAGTCCATGCAACAGCAACAAACGAGGTTTCTGATGACGTTTAAACCTAGCTTAATGAGGTTTCCGCCAAACATAACATCTACTGAAAAATTTTCATAACTTCAACCATCCGTATCAAATATACTCAGTAGCAGTATTTTGTTAACGTCTCGTCAAAATGGATACTTGAGCTTTAGTCGTTTACCAATAAAATCGTTTCAGCGACAAAACACATCCATAGCAGGTCGCTTGCAGTTGGGGTCCAGCTAACTTTTACTATTTTTGAGTGAAAAACAGCGCCCATACATCAAATTTGCTTTTGGAAGTTGAAGTTAAGCAGACGACTGATTCGCGCATCACTTTACAAAACTTCAACTTTTTATGACTATTTCATCACTATTCTATGAACGGCGCCATTGGACTCGGCACGATTCGTTTGTGTCATTGCAGACCGATTAAGTTGAACTGAAGCTCTTATACTCAGTTTTGCCAGACGAAGTCGTATCCGTGTGCTCTACCGCACTGCAACTGCTAAGGCTATGGCTCAACTGCAGGAATGGGCACCCAGCCGCTGGATATTGGCCACCAGTCTCGCGTGGAAGCACGCGGCGCGTTATTGCTTGGTTTCTGTACCCTCTCCACAAGCGGGAGCATGTTGTATCCTTTCCACATAGCCTCGCTTTTTTTCTCCCTGTGGGTGTAAACAGAGTTCGTACCGCGCTATGGGCACAACCTTCGGGGACCGAATCAAAGATCGGGAGCGAGGGAAAGGGTAAGGTCGAAAAAGATGGCGAGGGTAAAGTTGAGGGAAAGGTAAAAACGAGTGTGAAGTTGCTTGGAAAGTAGGTAAGTGTAAAAACGTACAAAGAGATAACGGTCGAAAAGAAAGTTCTTGAGTTTTAAACTGAAGGTTGTTGTATAGCAGCACAAGGGTTGTTCGTATTCATTTCGTCGTATTTCATTGGGTTCGGTGCTATGATTGGAAATGGGTTGTTTATATTTACTGGGACTGATGTATGTTATCAAAGGTTTTCTTTAATTTATTTCCAGTGTTTTGACCCGCAGCATAATTATAACGCTGTAAACGCCACATGAGTGATTAAAACGGGGATTTTTTGAGCGTTCCAACAACTTCTATTTTCTTCTTTATATTCACACAGGTATATAGTATCTAATATGTATATAAAGTTGGCAAATGTAAACTAGTTCGTTTTATAAATATACTTGCAAGAAGAGTCTCGTTAACGGTTTCGTATTTCGAAGATACTGATTAATGATGAGAGTATTTCAGTGAGTCACAAAAGCTGCGGCGACATACACACATTCTAAAACTAAAACTTTTTAGACGGATAACCCAATAGATCGATATGTACATCGATATCAAAGAATAAATGTCTTTAAGACTGTATTAAAGCTAGCCCGTTCAAACGTAAGCCATATGACCAACCCTGAAGAATCCTATTTTGAGTCGGCCAACAAAGAGGCCGATCGTTGGATTGGAAAGTTGGATTAATATTGAGCTGCTTTTATCTCTGGACCTTGATAATCTGTTCTGAACAAGCAAAGCATCGTAAGCTTGTCAACTGTATAAAGAAGTCTGCTAGAAGACTAGTAATTTCGATGTTGAATCTGCAAATATCATAAAGTTTTAATAAAGTAAAGATGTTAAAATGTCTCTTAAATAGGTTGCATATAAAAAATCCCGATAGAATCATGTATTAAACTGAAGGTAGGCTAAAAATCGAAAGACTAGAAGAGGCTATTAAGTATAAAAAATAAAAGTATGCGTAAAATGTCCCAAAAGGATAAAACGTTCTAGTTTATATGGTTAAGTCAATTAGCAGTTTTTTTTATCTAGGAACCAGGTGCATTAAGAATGGTTCTTTTAGCCTTTTTTACCAATTTTCTAACTCTTCTAATCAAAGTATATTGAGTATCTTCCGGTTTATGTCCTCGGAGTCTTCCTCGGATTTTCACAACAAACTACTGGCAATTACGTAAATTATATATTTCGGGAAAAAAAGAAAGCTTGTAGTTTCGGTAGGAATTTATCTCAAATGGGCACATCGGTAATAAATGTGATTCGGTAAATTTCGAAAACGTTGTACTGTTTTTGTTGCCATAATGAGTCTGCTATTTTGTTCTACAAAGGACTTTCTTTTAGGACCAAGATTAGCGAATAAACGAATGCCCACTGCGATAAGCAGGCTGCCAAAACTTGTCTCACTTTGACTGCCCCACACTGCACCTATCTGTCTGTGTCACATTGCGTTAATCACTTAAAATTCTGAGGTCTGTCCATATACAAACCATATACATGTGTCCATTAGCTCCTTGCTAGCTAGAGTTATTTTCGAAGTTTTTCCGACCTCACATTTAAGTCATGGACTTTCCGATACTGTCGTTGGCGATATTCTCTGTTGGATCAAAAAAATAAGCATACAAGACGGTGGCATCTACTGTCTATTAATCAAATACATTTATTAGTTTTTGGTTATAATGCATTCATTATGCATCACTGTAAAGGTACGAATGACAGCTTCATTTGTTCCTGTTTCGATCTGTTCCAGATCGAGTAGATCCACTGACGAGGTATACCCACATCTTGATACATACAGAGGTACGAATATGGGCACCCCCTAATCAAGATCAGTAAAGTAAAATCATTGAAGTAGAATTCAAGATGGCGCAAATCTTATCTTTATCAATTTTAGCACTAAGTCTATTCAGAGTGCACTAAGTCTAGATCAGACTGACTGTTTGCAAAATTTTTTCTGGTAAGTTTACACCTATCATGGCGCCACCGAACACTAGCGACACGCCGTCGAAGATTTTTGTTTGATAATGAAAATAGTAATTCTTGTTCAAACATCGGTTATTTCAACCGAGCACAATGGAAATAGGTGTACAAGAACGGTCGGGAGCTTTAGTACTAAATGCGTGTCATTGTGTGGGTCTGAAGATAAACTGAGGTTCATCTATTGAAAATATCTGTTGACAATATTCTCGGTAAACCAGTCTTTCGAGAACTGTAGATGATCAGCGCCGGGTATATCAAGCAGCGCAACTTTGCCAGCCTCATCAAGCGTTTTAAGGCCGATCCAATCCTCAGTATAGAGTGCTGTTTGTTTCCAGTCCATCACTTCTTTGTCCTGGCCAGGTTTGTACCACCTGTACGAGACTCATCAAAATTGTATTAGTTATAAAAAAAACATATCTAGATATACTGAGGCCTCCTGAATAAGGTAAAGATTAATGCGTTAAGCGATTAATCTATTGGTAGCCCTGTTTAGAATGTAAACCAATTATAGGTGGGCGGGTTTGCTGATTCAATCATAATAAATAGCATTCTCTTTAGTGATCACGCAATTTGACGAGACATCACAGCAAAAGAGTACTTCGCTTTGATTTTCCTAATCTGAAATTTTTCCATCCACAATTTAATGAGAATAAAAAGACTTGCATTTAAAGAATTCGAAATGAAGAGCTCCATAAACAGGAACACCGCATGACATAGAGAATTTCTTAAAATTTCCTGAACATTGTATAGTTTGAAATTAATGGTTTAATTAATTTGACATGGACTCGTCGCGATAATCTGTGTGTTGATGAGTTTGCCTGCAACCTATTTGTAGAATATGCAAAAAGCACGCACCCAAACCAGGAGCTTTCGCGCGGCTGTACGATGGTGTCCGCTCCAAACTTAACCAGGATAAGTTTTTGAAGTTTAATCAGATTTTCCCTTGAATTTGAAAAGCATTACACATAAAAGGTACTGTCAATATCAGATGGGTGGAATTGGTTTAAAGTAAAAACATTGCATTAACTGAACTAGTGCGAACTCAAAAGTTTTCTATCAGTATTCCCCTTCAAATGGGCATCATAGAAATGCATTATGTCTTCCATATCTGTATCCAAATATTATGAAAAATACTTGTAGGTTTCGTTGATAGTTTTCTCGTTATTGATGTCTGCAAGGAAGATGCTCTTTTCTTTGTATGTCTTTTCGTCTAAGGGGTCATGCCAGTATTGTGCAGGCACAATCTCGTTCTGGACCCAGGACCAATATGCGCCGTAATCTAGTAGACGCCGAGCGTAGCTGCATAGCGTAAAAGATGAACCTGGGCATCGGGGAAAACCAAAGACACCCTGTTGTTGACCGCCTAAGAATTATAGGAAAATAGGAAACAAAAGAAGAGGTGAAGTAATTAACAACTCTTCTTAATTATTACGTACAATGTTCTTCATATAATCACAGCTGTCGTATAGTGTATATCGTTGACGAGCTTTGAGCCAACGACTGCTAGCCTTTTCACTCGCAGATTTACACCTTATATATACAGGGTGATTAAAATGTCTGTCATGTTGTATTGAATAAATTTGTTAATAAAGAAAGAAATCAGCATTTAATAATAGCCTCATCTGAGCAAATTATGTTTTGAGACATAAAAACCATCCCTCAGGTTACCAATCGTAAAAGGGCTTAAGGCATGCTACAGTTAACACACCGGCGTTCTCGTACATACATTCGTGTTCTTCGAGAGACTAGCTTGAATACTTTTATTGACCGCGAAGTTTTGTCAAAGATGCTGTAATTTCAACTTACGTAAAGAGGAGATAAGAAATATTTCTGCTGATAATATTGAGTCTCTTGGCCGCATCTGTCTTCCATCTGGACAGAACAGCTGCAACGAAAACCTACCGAGAGAACGAAAAAGAGGATGAAGACATACCGAGAGAGACCAAAATCTTCATTGGTGGATCAGGGCAGCGCTGTGCGACAGCCCTTAAGAACTGGCCACCTTGGCTAAAACCGATAGCGTGGTAACCGTCCACCAGGTCAGGGTCCTGTCGGATCTGCTTACAAGCCTGAGCAACCTGGAGATTGCTGTTCATAAAGTATGAGCTCCGCATTTCCTCAAGAAAGTTTGAGCCAATTTTTAGGGACACCACCTATAATATAATTGGTACATACGAACTGTTAATACTTCAGACGCTTGCATCAATGAAGCTTCTAGCTGATTAATTGGTAGAATCCAAACATATGTTTATGGTGGTTACACGGGAGTGTACGTATATAAAACCATCGACTGATAATCATGGGCCTCATCTTGCCTATTTAGGAATCATCTGTAGTAATATCAACCACCAAAAAAGACAACATAGGGAGGCATCCATTGCGTGTTTCAACGTAGGTATTTTTAATATGGACAAATATGTTATAATGGAACAATTCTATTCCGCTGATAATAAATTTTGCTTCATTCAGCTTATTGGTTGGAATCTATGGTTGATAACTTTACTTTTAATTCTGCAGGAAAAAACCGAAATGTCTCGAAAGCCATATAGCTAACAATGTATATCAAGCTGCTTCACATCAATAGGTCGAACAAAAGATGCAGTATTTTGTACCAGTTTATCGTCACGAGGAAATTTTCCTAATAGAGATGGCTAAGTTCAGTTCTTTTTTAGCAACTATCACAACAATAAGCCGCTGTCTAAACACAATGTACCGCTGCTGCCGCTTACCTTCGTTCCGTTACATTGTTTCTGCAAGTACGTGGCGAAGCCACCGAGACTTAGGGGATTGCAACAGGTATCGCCTAAACCATGCCATAACACGATCGGAGTGATGGCCTTCGCAGGGCTCTCTATCAGGACGTGAAAGAGCAGTAGACTTTTCAAAATGTCACGGATCGTGACCATCTTCTGTAATTGCGGCCACTGAAGCTGCTAAAAATATGGCTTTGACCGTTTTCTTGCAACTGACCCGATTCTGTCATAACTGCAATCAATGAGACAAACACATATGGCCTACACTCATTTCCTGTGGACAATACAGCACAACGCTCACAGCCAGTGACTGTTTCACCGTTCTCTATTCTATGCTTATTTCAGAAACAGTTCAACGTCAAAATAGTTATGTATCAAAAATAAGACCTTGTATTGTCACTAGGGGGCAGTCCAACACGATTCAATTTAATATGTATAATCACCTGGCAGCAATGACACATTGAATGCAAGCAGTTTTTTTTTTCAGTCATTCACACGGACGCTAAACGAACTGTACGACAGACACAAACTAATTGTTGGCTGTAATAGGGGCTGGCGTAGATATTGTTTCGTTATGATGCCGGGGAATGGCTGATATAAGTCTGTCCTTCTCTCAAAAATCTCTAATTAACAGCAATCAAAAGAAGGCTGCGTTAGGTACTGCTGGTGATACGGGTTCGTAGAGTAACATCTTTATCGTATTGACGGAGCCTGTTAAGAGATTTGGAGCCAATGCATCTATTCCCTACCGCGTCTTCTTGTTCGAATTTGTAACGCTTGAAAGTTCTGTGAAATGGGTGTTTCCTTTGTCACCGGCTTTCGAGGAAACTCCGACTGAATGATAATAGCTGAAAAGCTATGTTACAGAACTAAGCACAGGCATTAAGGAATATTCTGTCTTTAATAACAATAATAATGCATAATTTATTTATTTATTCTGCCTAATTACAGAATATGGCGGATATTGTTTGAATTAACGATATCAGTATCATCCTCGGAACACAAACTCAGACAGATTTTACGATTCGCAACGTACCTTCTACGTTTCATTTGACTTGACGGCTTCAGAATGCGATTGTAGTTTGAAGCTGCGGCGTTTCAGTTCGAAAATTTTATGATTTATTTAAGATTCTGTTTAATATTATTGTAAAGCATCAGCGATGATACCAAATGAAGCTTTCTATCGACCGTATAGATCAAAACCGAAGTTGAAACTCACACATAAATTTAGATATGAAAAAGCTGTTTTCCACTCGAAGCTAAAGTTTCGTTGGCAAAAGGTAAGCACATGGAATGCTTGAGTTGCATCAAATTTAGATGAGTTGTTTAGGCCAATGATAGCAGCCATCTTATTCGGTCCTAACTACAAGGACGACACTGCACTTTGACGTTCGGTCTTCGTCAGACTGTACGAACTATCCAAGGTGTCTGGCCTAAAAATTAACACCGCCGCCCTCGAAATTAAGCGAGCTAAGAGCATGCCTATGCGGAGATGAACAACTAGCTTTAGCTTGTTAGATGAAGGATTCAGGTATAATTCGCATCCGTTTAAAGCATCAGACTTACAGCATATGCCATATGCTATCATTCGAGAACTAGCAGGTTGCTTGCAAAGTTAACAATAACTTACTGCTATAGCTTGTACTTTTTCATCTAATTTGAAAAAAAGGCACGCAGCTATAACATTGCAGACCGACGCGAATCACTTGATAATGTTCTCGAACATCGAAGCATCCCCATAACGTTTTACTGAAACCGTCGACGAACGCGAAATGTTTACATAACAAACTAGAAAAATTGCTCCATCAACCGCACTGCGCTTCGTCACTTCAGTTCATTCAAGGTATCATCGTCGCCTTTTTTCGAAAAGAAACTTCAGCGGCTTTTCCGCCTTGATGTGCGGCGTCCGTAAACTTCAGTATTTAAGGATTGTGAACGTGGACATATATCCAGAGCTAGATTCAGGACAGCAGACTATAGGCTAAGCCTAATATAAATTATCATCTAATGATTAATATCCTATTTAGTACCGCATACTATGTTGAAAGCAGCGAGCCAAATAACTGACTATTGCGTAAAGGAGATGCACGGCTGAAACATTCGAATGATAGTTACTATATAAATACTTACTAGTGGGCTGTATGCAAGAAAACAAACATTAATATACATGTTGTGGCCAAAACCATCGAAAGCCTTAGCATTTATGAACTACCGCATTGCTACTTGTCATCTACCATAAAACATCAGGTTACGCTCGACCGTGGGTCACAAGTTTACTTTTGTTGAATCATTTGTACGACAACAAAATTAATAAGGAGAAATTATGCAGATTCTGACTTTATGATGTAACAACTGCAAAGAAAAGGCGTTTCTTAACAAGTCTAAAAAGAAAGACATTCTCGCCGTCGTCGATAAAGGTTAGCTTCGCTTTTTAGCCCTTTGCTTTGTACAGGCGCAGACTTACATTAAAAAGCTGAATAACCTGAAAAAGTGGGTCCGTTACAGAGCGACTTAATGGCCAAAGTCAAATAAGGAAAACTAAGTGAATTATTATCAGATGCTATTACGCAACAAGATGATTTTGCTCTATGGTTCCTAGATTGATATATGGCAGCTTAGGTCAGTTGTACTTACCACCTGTACAAAATGTTACCCTTGATTTGTGAGTAGTAACAGCCAAAAGAACTTTCGCATCTCTATTGACAGTCACGATATAGATAGCACCGACATCACTATCAAACCTGTTTTGCTTATTATCACAGAGTGGCCTTTAGCAAATGCAAAAGAATATTTTTGTCTTTTTTTAGTTTTTACCAAACTAGCGAATATTTTCTATAAATATTAAGCGTGGGTTGAGTTCGTCCGCCAAACCCAGTGGCCAAACTCGCCCAAAGAATTATTTTATCGCATAATCACTTTTTTCGCCATAATATCGGGCGTATTTTGGAGACTCTTGTTTGCGAATAATTCGTGACACGAGCTGCACAAGGGTAACGCTTGATTAATTACGAGATAAGGAGATTCTATTCAAGGACATCGTTAAGTAGACTTGTTTATCATAAGATAGGTAGATGCATCTGGAGCAGACTACTCGAATCGATATTTCGGAACAGCAACGAGCACATAATTAACGATATAGAATTAACTACAACAGAATTGTATTTGTGTAATTCGAAATTATGCGTAATCCATATACGTTGTTTTGTTTAGAAATTAAGCGTTGAAGACAACGACTGTACAACTGCCATTAGATCCTTCGGGTCAGCAAGTGAAGAGAGATAGGAAGAGTCGAATCTGTCAACGCGCATCCACACGCAAGATGTGCGTTAAATAACTACTGCCGCCTTATCGGTTGACGTTGTATATCATGATTATTTATTTGTCGAACCGGTTAAGGATATATTGCTCTTTGCCCGTAACAGAGTCAACTTATTTTAAAGCCATGAAAATCTTCTGCTTGTTTTATTAGATAATAATTGCAATGTCATACGAAGGGGCTAGCCATCCGTAACATAATAGTAGAAGACAATATGCACATAAAACTCCGAAGAAATGTTTCATTTTTCCGCAACGCCTCCAGACTACACAGTCGCCCACATTAAAAATAATGTCAAAAACTTTTCCCATTTGGAAATTTATTGAATAGTGAAATAGAATATAGTAATACCATTAGCTTCCCGCTGATAGTTTTATATTCGGTAGATAGTGAAGGCGCATAGAATCAACTTTAGAAGCAACGTCTTCATCTTTCTTATAAAATTTCTGATTTCAAATATCATATTAGGCTGTTAAAAGCGAATCTGACAGACCTCGAAATTGGATCATTTTGTAAATTACCATACGAGACTCAACTTGTAAGTGCTCCGATTTTTAAGCACTTCTGAATGAAAACCGGTTCACTTTTAGGAAAAACGTTTTCTTGTCTTGAAAGCTTTTTGAAAATCACAATGTTGCGAAAAGTTACCGAAGATCGCTGAAAACACCAGATAAGGGGCCCTCTATTGAAAGTACAATACATGAAGTGTAGACGTTTTAAAAGTAAACATTGGAGTTTTGAAGTTCAGCAAGGGAATGACCAGATGGCAGTAGCTGAAAAACAAGAACGCATCGCCGCGATCGAAGAGGCTTTTCATGAAAGCAGATCTTGGGGATTAAGAGCTGTCGGCAAGAACCGGCAGCTCGACTGTAACGTGTTACGGAACCATAACCTAAGTACTGAGAATGCAGAAACCCAGTGAAAAATTGGTCCATCGTGGATCGACTCTAAGCCCAGGTGGAAGTGTGTGAGATATATTTCACATGCAATTTGCGAAACTCCAGTTAACAAAAAACCCGTTTCGAGCATGCGGTCGCTACAGACGAAATACAGTTCAATCTCTACCGCTGCCCGGGGTAGGACCGGGCGAGAAAATGACATCTCTTTAAGGAGAAATCGAGTGCGGTGTTAACTATCGAGTAGACTTGAATGTAAGGTGATATATATATAAGATTATATAAGGAAGTGTAAGGTTCTAATCAACATCATCTTTTGTTATGAGATTTATGAGACAAAAGTTGCAGCCCGCTATGTCGAGTAACATAAAAGGCTCATGGACCGTCGGTACAGTGATCGAAACCACGCAGTTTGGTTACTTGATAACAATTCCAGACCCAGTCGCCATGCCTCTATTAGTTTCTAAATAAGCACAAAAATATCTAGCAACTTACTTTCCCCAAATACTTTCCAAAAAACCCATAGTGGGCAAGTGTTCCGCTACTGATTTACATCGGAGAACTATTGATAAAAAAAACAATAGTAACGCAAATGATAGGTATATGGTCCAGAAGCTGCCAGAACACTGAGATAAGCGTGTCGAAAAAAAGAGTGCTTATTACAAAACAAAACGAAAAAGTTCATTTGCCGCATTGGCTTGTATAATATAGTACGGCCGCTGTATCGCACTCATAACGTCGCCTGGTTTGTGTCCTGGAGTTGCTCCAAGAACTTCTTTCAGACCCGCACCGCACTTTTTACCGCGATTAAGGCTCTACTATCTAATATACACTGCATCCTAGATGGAAAAAGCGTGCAAAGGGCTCCTAACTTAATACGTAGCAAGTCTATGTTAGTACCACGGCTTAGATAACAATCTAAGCCGCGGTTAGTTAGTCTTCACTAAGTATATTGAACAGCCTTCGTGTTTATTTCTTACTGGGATTTCCGGATCCCATCCTATCAACGCTAATGCTTTACCTAACTAGCCAACTTGTTTACTGATCTTGATCCTTCAAAATATTTGATCACGCAGTAATCTACCACGATTTTATACCACGAACATTCTATTTAGAAAGCTTCAGACACGCTAGTGCACTCAGATATAGCACAACCTATAGCTATCGAGCTTATGTTCCACTAATAACCGGAATTGTTGTTTTTTTTACGAGTCACATCTTATTCCTTCTTGGTCATTCTGTTGTTTTTCAGAGTCGCGACATACGTTTATCATTATTATCATCACGGTTTATTAATATGTTTTTGTTTCATCGTTATTAATATTATTATTATTTCTTCTTTCATCGTTTCATTTCATTATTGTTTCCTTCTTTCATTTATATAATGTTTATTTATACACGAGATACCGGAGCCCTAGGCCCATTTGCTTTGTCTCATCACGTCATATATATATATATGTATGTACCATATAATGTCATCCATATCATCATATATCATTATCATATTCGCCGCATCCCACTCGTTGGGGCTTCGCAGGAGGCGCACTGAGTGTTCCTCAAAGCGGGATACACCGCGCTCGCCGATGATACCTGGTACGTGTCGTTATCAATAGTATTAATAATTACCATGATAATAATAAAATTAATTTCTCTTCTTCCTATGCAATCATCAATGTTTGCCTGTTGCTTTCCAAACACCCTTGCTTGTCTTTCTTGTTGTTGCTATTGCCTCTTGGTCATTATTGTTATACCTTTGTTTGTGGAAATTTTATATCGTGATCGCAAGCGACACCACATTTTGTTTATGTTTTCTTATACCTACCAGGCCATCGCACGCATACTGCAGTGGCCAACGCGCCGAAGAAGTGCTACAAAGGATCGGTTAGCAAAGGCAAGGAATCACATTTAAATGTGTTCTTTCCCGGTCTCTCGTTTTCTCTACGAGACCGCACCGACTCTTCATCACATCACGACACGCCGGTAACCGCTAATTCACCATTTGGTTCACCAAGAGGCTTCCGCCACGCGCCATGGCCTCTTTACCGCCATCCGTCCTTCGTTCTCAACACGTTCACCTCGTTTTCGACACACGCACCGAGTCATTGAATCACTTACGTTCCTGCGTCAACTCAGCTGCGCCCATGAACAAACGGAGACGGCTACAATATGGTGAGCCAAATTGACTTCATAAGCAGTAGCATCTCGACGAGAGTGCATTTGACCACCTAGCGTCTCTCACCTCTTATTGTTTTCCACTGCATTTAGATTTGCACAAAGGACGCTTTTCGGTCATCGCTTTCGGTCTGTTTCATTGTCTCAACACCATCGCTATTATCTGGCTGATATACCACCCTTGTATTCCAGGTCTTCTCTGCTTGAAAGGGGTCTTCTTACGCAGTGTTCAACATGTGTGTGTACATGTGTGTTTGGGGGCGCGTGTGGGTGTCTATAGATGTGGATGTGTTGCGTCCGTGTGGGTGCGTTTATGTGTGGGTCTGTGTATCTGACTGTAAGTATGTGTGTGTGTGGGAGGTCATGCTTCTGGTTGATCTACCATCGTACAAATGAATAAAATTTTTGCTACATTATAAAGTTTTTTTACCTGCTCCTGGCTGAAGTCATAAGTTGACAGCCACGTCTCTGTCAGAGTGTGTGATAGGGGAAATTTTATTCAATATGTATGAAATTTGTGAATTGTATCTTCGCTGGGTCCAGTGGTGTAGGCTTTGCCTCTTAATTTATTTAGTTTCGTGGCACTTTTTGCCCAAAACAGTTTTGTGCGGTAGCGGTGATAATGGCCGAAAGAGCTTCAGTGATTTCTCTCTGCTATGTGTCCCAGTAAAGTAATTTCAGTTCACTATGTCAAGAACACTTTACGTACTCTACAGCCTATAATGATTTCGCAGATGCAGTTTCTCGGTGATTCGTGACGTCAAAAAACACACGGCATTTCTGCACGCAAAATATATCCCTTTTGTTGTATATGTGCCATTGTGATATCTACATGATTATTGCGCTATCAAACAAACACAGCCTTGCCGTGTATTTTTTGCCATCTTCGTGTACTTGTTCAGAAATTGGTCTTACTGAGTGAAAATCAGAGTCGGCCGCTTTAAGTCACAATTTCATTACCATCATAATTATGTACCTTAATTAATGTAGAATGATTACTTTTCAACACAATGTTTGTTCGTTTAAAGAAAATAAGTAAGACCAAGGCTTACATCCTCGGAGAATGATAGATGATGCATATCCCGTACGCCATTGAGCCTCCTTGATCAACATACGTAATATCATCGTAATTATAATAATCGCAGACCAACATAGCACTGTTCACTCACACCACTAAAGCTCTTTTTCGGCCAATATCACGTTTTTTTTCGGCGACCTATCATCGTACCCATCATTACGCCCATCAAACGAATGCCCTCTCTCCTTGCCAACGACACTGATACGTAATACAGTATTTTTATGAAGCCCACGCCGAACTCCGTCTGCTGCACCGTTTCTACAACGACATTGATGGCAATCTTTTAGCTCGAAATCGATTCCTGAAGTGGAATTAAAAAAGGGTTTAAAGTAGCTCTGAAGACATATCAGAGGAACGGGCTATAAGTCCCTGCGAATCGATTCAGATAGGTCAATTTCTTTGATCACTTCCTTTCCTGGTTCTTGTGGATGCTAGACAATATTACCGTGGCTTGTTGCATCAGAAGTAGGCGCTCACTGCAAGTCTGATCACCATGTTCTCCAGATATTGATTTACTGTGACGGTCGTTGTAACGGCGATATTTTCTGATAAATCTGGTGGACTCCTTGTTTCGTCTACTTTTGGATATTTGCTCTCCGCCGTTTCGTACGCTGGCAATATACAAATAATTTCTGTGAGGCCGTACTGACGATTGGCCTCAACCGTTAATAGAGCGTTCAATAAGTCATGTTATGGAGCTTCAGCATGTCTTGATACGCTTACGCAGTTGCTCCTCGTCCCCGCTCATACCGGAATCGGTTTCGTCATCTGATGTTGTCCCATTCAAATTGGCCATGGCCAAAGCTCCCGCAGCAGCTAAAAGTAAAAAGAGGCAAAAACATAAGGGTTTTTGTCCGATTAACAGGCTGCCGATTGTGGTACTCGAGTAGGTCCATCATAAATAAGGTAGTAGTTTATGCATATACATATACGTAGTAGAATGTTTGACAACTCTACTGTTATATTAGGTTGATCAGCTACTTATGTTCGAATATATATTGAAACGAGACAATAAAACAGTTTATATAATGATAATTCTACACTTGCTAATAAATTGATCATGTTGTTTCAAAGTTTAATAAAGTGATAAATAAAAGATAGTTTAATAAAGTGTTAATACCTGGATGGGGGCTCTCACGACAGTTTTGTAATGAGTTGATTTGCTGTTCAAGTGATCGGTTCTGTCGCTGCAGATCTGTAATGTCCTGCTGATGTGCAGAATTTCGTTTCCGCATCATCTTAATATACTCCGAGGCTCGCTTCAAAATCTCCGCCCGGCTCACTTTGCCGGAATCCGCTGGGGTTAAACAGAATCTTTTAATATTATTATTATTATTCATGTAACGAATTCGACCACCTCTCGTCCGTACACCAAACTAAATATCAGTAACTCAATACCCCAGTTACGTACGCTCTGTTGCTAACAAATCTTCCATTGCGGAGTACAACATGCCTAAACGATAAGGTCCACGTTTCAGTTTCAAAATTTTACTGTTTGGTGCCACGTCCCCAGCTATCCCGTTTAATCTGATCCGGTCTAACCAGACCTGACCTAGCACTCACCATCCAAGTTGGGCACAGCGTCCCTAAGCGAATTGAACGAATGTTTGATGTGATCACGCCGTTTGCGTTCAAGGGCGTTATGGTGAGCCCGTTTCTCGTCCTCATTGGCGAACGTTGTTCGGGCCGCATTCGTCCCACCAGGCGACAGCATATCATCATCCGATCCGAATGACTCATCTTCACTCATGTTTACCCTTAGCGAAGCTACGATAGCAAGAGATCTACAATATTGAACTAGAGCGAAATGGGCAACGCTTGAATGTCTGCTTCAAAGATTGCTGTTACGGCCACGTGCAATCCAACAGGAACGATAAAGATGACTGATTAACCAATTCGACCACAATCTGAAATGAAAGATCATGTTTTACCTTAAGTAACAGATTAGAGTATAGGAAGCTGCTCGAATCGCAAAGGGCAATGCTGGTTATACGTTTAAAACTTTTATTGTTGATCTGCTTTTTACCTTTCTATGGTACAAAGAGTGTTTGTTGTTCTTTTAGAGACTCGACAGAAAGCAATGGTCCTATGTTTGAAAAATGTTTCTATGCTTATAACTTTACCATTCTTTTGTTAGTTTTTCCCCATCATTCTTAATAGTTGATTGTAAGCTTGCTAACAAAATTCACTAAAATAAGCGCGCTAATGTTAAACCTAGTTTCGCTTGGTTAAGCCATTTATAATACTCGTATGGCCAATTTGACGATCGTCACAAAATATTGTCGCTCATAGAGTTAAATGCACTCTTTCCAAAAGTTACACAATGAAATTGGAACGCACAATCACAAGAAAGTTATAGGAGGCCCGTTCTCTAATTCAGTAAAATCCATTTCGATTACTGTCTACTTGGACGAACTCTAAACGAATGCTCTGTTATGACTTCAGAGAACGCATCTTGTTGAATGGCCCTCGTCGATATTGGTAAGCGTGTTGGTCACGTAATCCGCTACAGAAGCGCATTGCACAAGCGAAAACCGCGGCCACATTGGTGTAAAACTTTGGTCTAGCTTTTTTTTTTGCCATGCTTATGCAAGCGTCTACGTCACGTCAAAGTATCAAAAAAAAACGCACGTCATATAGACATACGCCGTCCGTTAGATTATTACTAGCCGATGCCTTACCACAAACGGGTAGTAGTCATACTATACGCACATAGGAGAAGATTTAGGAATTATGTACATATACGGCGTGTACGTTGTATAGTAATTTGTGTATCGCAAATACCGTAGCGTAGTAAGTTGCTGACGAGTTTCTACTTCGATAGCAAACTGTCGTGTCTTAACTTAACAATAGTGTCTTAACTGAGTTAACAGAAACACAGCTGTAGTTCTCGTATTTTAATCGGAAAAAATTAATTACAAAAATAATAGATAGTTGGATTATGAGCGTTACAATCTGGAATCCTTAATACGATCGCGCGGAGGGTGAAAGGCTAAAGCACACCACAAAGTTCGAAAAATGCCACGGATGGATGGTAGGCGCGCAAATTCATGTTCACGATGTCGGTTGCCGCGTAGCTCCAGTAGAACCCGGTGCACTTACAGGGCATTACGTTCTATCTTCGATGGAGCATTAGCGTTTTAAGACCAATGGCCAGCTCAGCTACCTGTCGCGCTTCAATTGATTCACAGTTGCTGGAAGCAGAAGTGACTTCGCCTAGTCTCTTTGTTCCCTTTTCTCACTAACCGTCTCTTTGTTCCCAGCCCTTTCTCACATGTCCCTTATCCATTCCTTTCTTAGCCTTCTCTCTACAATCTAAGTTTGTGCCGTCGCGAAACCTCATTCGTCAAAGCAAAACAAGATATTCACACAGGGCTTTTGACCCGAAACCCTATTTCTTGGCGGAAACCAGAAGGAGGGTGGAGGGGTAAATATAGGTACTAATGTATAGTTCAAGCATATTTTACGAACGCACCATGTAAACACGGCATGTTCATGTAGGACAAGAAGGAATACGGCGAAAATCTTCGTGATTTCTAAAATTTGTTAAGCCGTTTGTGTTCGATGTTGCAGTGCGCTGTTACCAGGCGCCATGATAAAACTGTCTCTATGAAGGCTGACTGCAAGCTCGGGTTGCTTTATACGGCAATAAGCAAGTTACCATTTTAGCTAGAATCCAGGTGCTTACTTGGTTAGAAAATGGCCCTTTCATATCTAGTATTCAACGAGAATACTAGAGCTTATGCGTCGTCAGGTGTTGTCATATATCATCCGCTAGGTTGGCTCCCCTGAAACACCCTAAGCCGGCAGACTTGCTCGCCTATATTAGACAGTGGTCTTTGCGCCACTACACAAAGCACACTGTATGGTGAAAGATGTCTCTATATATATATATATATAATCTTCTATTACGACCGAGCGCGAATTATCTTCTATTACGACCGAGCGCGAAGAGCCCGCTAAATGGAGCCGAGTTGGGTCTCATCTCTATCTACTCGAACAGATGGGCCATCATTTCCCTCAGCTTTCCAATAATATTCGAGATAATATTATCAATAATTGTGTCAAGAAGACTCGCAAGGTAGCTTGGACCAACTAATATCATCATTTATAACGGTAGTAATAATATACGTAAAATATGTTCTATATGTAAGTCAATATATATATACTATGTAAGTTAAAATACTCGTATAGTGTGAATTTAAGAAAGACGTCATCACAGGAATGCGAATCGTGTACATTTACTCAGATTCGACTTTTAAATGGGTACCAGGATCCGCATCGATAAAAATCGATACTTCTCCCAGCGCTAGCAGAACACGGCACTATCGATAGCGCATCCGTCTTCGCCATTATCATCTCATCAAAACGACAGGTCTAATGTCTCGACAGATTCTTCTATCGTTGCAGTTTACTTTGTAATAGGGAAACTGTGTGGCGTTTTGTGAACGCAAACTTATGTCGATGCGCGTATTGTCGGTGTTCCCACACCAACACATTCATCACAGTTTGTTTCGATGTTGACTCGTACTGTTTATTTCGTAGAAAACCCAGTTTCACGAGGTATCCCGTTTACAAGGGCAGATGTTCCCTGGTCTTTCCTGTCCATTTTTTATAATGAAGCTCGTGTCCATGTAACATAGACATCGGTACATCACTCTGGCAGCGAAGGGTATTTCTAATATTTAGTATCAGAAATACAAATTATATATAAATTTACAGAAAAGTACCGATAAAACAACGTAAAGTTTTCTGCAAGAAAACCGAACTACCTTCTTTTCTTGATTGTCAACCACCGCTTGGTAGTTGTTAGATGTTTTGCTATAGTGTCCTTTTATGTCTAATTAGCATCGCGTTAGCAATCAGATGAAGATCTTATAGGACTGAAATAGTCACACAGATTGCGTTGACCACTTAGTTATAATAGGTCTATAGAATAGAAACGACTTAAAAACAGTTATGACTGTTGCACTAACAGCCGATGTTGAACAATACTGAACACTAGTGGCGCATGAGGCCAACTCGTTCTGTAACGTGGTTATCGGGCTAATTACAATTTGGACTAGGTACTAGACAAGGTTGGGCCTCCCAGGCAATAAGGACAGAATCACACGCCTAATATACAATTAATGCACATTGAATTGACACCTTTATAGAAGCAAACACCAAACCACCTTCATACAGGTAACAACGGCAGGCAATCACTGAAACAATGGCAGGACTAAGTCAGCAATGCTCAGGGTAAAAACGGAGGCCAAAGCAAATCTTCGAGCGCGCAGTTAACGAATTGTGATAGTGTAGAACGTGTCACGCCCAACGATGACAGCAGTCAACAACAGCTGTGCACAAATCTAATTTGGATTTGCCTGTATTCGACAAGATATGTCACTTCAGAGGCCGCACAACGGATTCCTCTGACCTTTTTACTGCTAAAGACACAGGTTTTCAAGCGATTTCGCACCGAAGGCACAACGTATATAAGCACTGTGTGGAAAACTTGTGCAAACCCCCGATGTTCTCCAATGTTGATAAGAGTACCGAAAAGAATACGGGGTAACACGCCCAGTTTAACTTCGTTCAGCAGCGTCAGGTACCCTAGTGGGAGGAGCAACGCGGCAGTTGGCAACAGTCTGAAGCGACTGAAAGGAACTTGTTTTCGTTTCCTCCATCGTGCGTCTGCCCCGCACACGCCAATACGTATACATGCTGGTAAATAGCGGTATAACGATGTCAACTACTGAACGGGTATTTACTACGATCGAATGCACTATGAGACGACAACGATAAAGAATCAACACATGCACAGATACGAAGCCCTTTTTCTTTTTCTGCCCTCGGTTTCGCATCGGCCAGCTGAGGCCATGAATCGCACACTGCCATTACTGTTAACGATGGTGAACGAATGGGACGGGGACCGAATAAAAAGGATGTATTATCTAATACTCTGCGCTTCTACATTACTTCGTATGACTAGTGCAGCAGCGAAAACCGGCGCTTTAAAAGGATTCAGTTAACACGGGCTCACGAACGTCAGTCGTTGCAATTGTCTCGTTGATGCATGACGCGCGCGCGCTGACACTGCGATGCGACTGCTTCAAATGCTTGTTTTTGTGTTCCAATTAATGCGTGGATTTCATGCGATCCAAAAGGGTCACTGGCGTATAGAACCGCGCGAAAAGATTACTATTAAGGACACTATAGATGTCCCATTAAGCTTACCGAACATTGTTATCGGGTGAAGCACCCTAGTGATGATGATCGAAAACGCTGGAGTGCTGCATCCGCTCCTGTCGTTTCACTATGGAATAGAGTGTTCAGTGTTGATACTATTGCACATGCAGCAATTACATACGTTATAGGGAACATAAGGGTATGAATAGATGAGCAAATTATTAGGTGGTAGACAGGCCGACACTAATGGATGTCATAGCAACACATACAGAATGTACCTCCATTAGTCATTAGATGAACCGCTAATACGTTTATGCGTCCATCACTATATCAAATTACTGATAACCTCAAAAACTGAGGGGAAAAGGCTGCCGAAACCCCTTACATTGCTAGCTTAACCGCTGTCGCGACTGGCACCGATACGCATTTTACGTAAGCCACCAAGAGTACATCTGTTTCGCTCGCAGGTTCAGCATTGTCATAAGCATGTACGACCTGCTCGACTGACGTGACGAATGCGACCTCACGTAAAACGATGACATCGATTTTCTCTATTGCTGCTGCGGCGGCTGCGTTTATGTAGCTCTGTTAGACGACTGAGACTGCTGCAACGGTCGCTACCATCTTATATATATATATATATATATATATATATATATATATATATAGTTTCGTTAGTAGCCGGTCGGCTGTTGCGTGTCTCTACTCATTCGTCTGTTCGTCCACCTGTTTGGAA